AACATAAAATTTCACTGACAGCGTTACGTGAATTTAAAAACTCCTATTAGACCTAATTTGAATGACAAACTAATTTATTTGATTAATAAATTATAGGCTTTTGTACTTTTATTTACTTTATAGACTTGATATGCTACAACCATATAAAACTTGCTCACGTTTTGCTCTGGCCTCCGCGTGTTCGCTTAGCACACTCATGTTTCAGAGAAAGGTCTTTTTAGATTCCAAAGCGGATCTAAATCTTGATAATTGTATAGATGAATTCTGGGAAGATTTGCGCACGCCTCGGGGTTGTAGTGTGAGCGGTATCGGAGCGAAATTGGAGCGAGACAGAGCGACCGCTCCAGCCTTAATTAAAAAACCGCTCCGCGCTCTGACCGAATTTCGCCCGCTCCGCTCCTCGCTCACGCTCCGCTCCACACACATGCTCTGGTATATATATTAAGATATATATATATATATATATATATATATACACACACACACACATACATACACACACAGTGCTTCAAGAGGGAAAAAATAAGTGCAGGAACTCAAATTTTCTCGGGCCACTGTCGCTGCGTCGGATCAGTTTCAGTAAGTACCGGAACGCAGAAAAAAGTGGCGGAACCCAAAAGACGGAAAATACAGAAGTTCCGGAACTGCGTTCCGGCCCACTTCAAGCACTGTATATATACACACACTCAAAATGTAAATTCACATATGGTCTGATGTTATCTTCTTCACACCACTTTTCCTGGTGAAAATCACGGATGACATTGCATTGATGATAAACATATTTTAAATAATTGGAGCAATATTACAATGTCGGCAATCTTTTATTTTAGTGATGAACTGCACCTGCATATTCTGCTGTCATGTTAGTGCTGTACTATATAGGCTGAAAACAATGAATGAACATCTAACCTTGGTTGCAGAGTAAGGCCTCGTTCACACGGACGTCTGTACCAGTTGTTTTTCTGGCGTTCGTGGCGCCAGGTGAGCGCCGACCATTTTTCTGCTCATTGCAGCAAATCAAAGCGTCCACACGGGCGTTCAGCACCGGCGTTCGGCCGGCTACGCGTTCAGGTGGCGTCAAATAAACGCTGCATGCAACGTTTTCTTGGTGTCAAAATCCCGACGAACGCGAGGAAAACGACGCTGTTGCGCTTACATGGCGTTCGGTTTGCGTTCTGGAGGACCGAATATGTCCCATGATTCTGTACGGCAACTGCGAGAAACCACATTTTACGGAAAATGTGATACTTGCAATATCGGTATTGTACCAGCAGTGAATTAATCAGCTGCTGGTACAATAGCAATATTACGAGTAACCCAATCGACAGATCAACTGGTGCTAATATTTTCGCTTAAAATACCAATTTAAAAAGCTCAGCAGGCAACTGGAAATCTGGACATCTATAAAGAAAAACTCATTTAACTGATGCGCCGTATCTGCTTTCTCTTTTCAACTGGCTTTACTCATAGGGTTCAACTGTAGTTAATATGAAGTTACAAAAGCTGTAGAAATATTTCAGCATAAAACCATGCGCTATAAATAATTATAGTGTTACAGCAATTACGGTCGTAATTATCATTAAGTCCTGCAACCCCGATCAGGATAAGCCGTGGGGAGATTGATGGATGTGTGGATGTAAATAAAATTTACATAAATGCATCTTGGACCTCTAGCTTAAAAATTAGTTTACACACTGCAACTGATCCCCCCCCCCCAAATTTAAGCAATTAATAAACCCCGCTTCTCTCCAATGCCTCAACAATTACGGATGGATTCGAGAGTACAGCATAA